TTCTATAAAAAAATCTTAGAATTTAATATTTTTATTTCAATATTTACATTAAAATTTTTAATTCTTTTAACGAGGTGATATTTTAAAATTATTTAACGTCATCATTTAAATATTATATATATATATATATATATATATATATTGAATAACAACATATCACTATTTAAAAGTGTCTTATCATTAATAAATGAGTTAAAAGACCATGTTAACTACTTTTTTTATCAAATAGTGAAATTAATATGAACCGAAAATTATTTAAAGATAAAATTAAGAAAATATCATACTAAATATTACTTTACCTCTTTCGATTACTACCAGTGCCTGGGACTTTCAGCGGCAGCCGGCATGCTTCTATGACTACGACTCTTATGTGAAAACTTCCACTAAAAGGGAGTCTATACATTCTACCACTACCACAATCTTTTTGGAAAAACTTGTATCAATAAATTCATGCCCTTTAACTAACAACAATTGGTCTAGTAGGATGAGGCACTAGGTCCCTTAAGTAAGGTTAAAGATTCGAATCTTGACGTTTACTAATGGAGCAAATTGGGTTGGGAGAGTCGCCATTACCTTTGCAATACCCGATCTGGATTAGTCAGTCAATAGATCGGATATCAGTGATTAATTCAAAAAAAATCATGCAATTTATTTTAAGAAAAAAATTGCTTATCTTTTGCCCCCCTCTATCCAAGTTCACTTTTGTAAAAACCTATTCAAGAAATTAAAAGAAAAAGTCCATAATGGGATTGATTCACATAAATATATATAAAAAATACTAATACTAAAAGACGTAGAAAGAAAATAATTAGTTATTTGGGAGCTCGATCGTCGTCATACAAATTATAAACAAGTTTGCTTTAATTTATTTTGCCGGGCAACCATGACCACATGCTTTGGATCATTCCATTTTCATTCAAGAAATTCACGAGACAAAAGGAAACCCCACCATGTTATATATATATTTCATATTAGCCAGCTGCTGATACATAACATTACTCGACGACATTCAGTAATATATGCTTTTACGACCATTCAATCGAGAATAACATAAACCGGATAATGTCTGAATACACAATGATTAACGCTGCCGATATTCCAAATTGTCGCAATCTGTCACTTCATTATTACAAGACCCTCTCTCAATTATGGCGTTAATTTGCAGCACCGGGGACCCAATTTCCCGCAAGCAGCACGCAAAACATTTACACAAGTTAATTAACTCGTGGGGTTCATATTGCTGCCGTGAAGAAGCTTCTCATTTGATGTATACTGAGACAAAACAAAGATAATATTGTAGCCAAAAGTAAGAAGTACGGGTTTTAAGCTTAAGGCGAAACAAGATAAAAAAATATATTGCTTTTAGGTTTCCTCTTGATCAAACAATAACAATCAACGGAACTTTATACTCAAAGAATAGTTTTATTACGGTAAAAAGGATGGACAGTTGAGCATGTTGTATGGAGGTAAAGTGAGATGGAGTGGAAAGAATATGATATTTCCCTTGGTGGGCAACGTGTTAGCTTCCTAGTTGCTGGTATAGTTGGTTAATTGTGCAAAATGATTCATGATTCAAGGATGACGTGTAAGAATAGGTGACCTATAGTTTACAAGGATGAGGCAGAGAATATATATATACATATATGGAGTGTGGGTATAGAATGAGAAATAAAGCAGGACCATGGGTGGCATCATCGTTTCCCAAACCTTTCTCTCTGCTTGTCTTGTTGTTTTATGGGTTGTCTGCTCTTTGAAGGAGGGCTACGCCTTGGGACGAACAGCAACCGTGGAGAGCCATACCATCCAAGTCGCCTCTCTTCTACCCTCCTCTATTTGCAGCTCTGGCTCTGCAACCCAAGGTTAATCACCCCCATCTCTCACTCTTATCTCAATTTCCTCCATTGAAACTCCACTAACCCTCTCCTCCGTCGTACTTGTGATGATGATAGATAAAATATTGCCAACTCAGTCTATCTATCCAAACATCGCCAACTACGCCCGTAAACCAACAAAAAAATACGAATGAGAGTATGTTTTTGCCTTTTCGTTTAACTTTAACCGAATAACTAAACAAATGTAATTTTTTGTTCGTGTTCGTTCATTAAAGAATATCTCTTTTCGTCTTCGTTTATGTTCGTTCGTTAAAATGATAAACGAGCACAAACGAATGAATATAAACAAACATAAACAAACGAATATATAATTAATCGGGTTTAAATTTGAGAAGAGATTTTTCTTTTCAAATGGTTTTAGGGTTTATATTTTTCTTTAATTAATTTGGATATTTTTTATTTGGGTTTAAAATTAATCGAATTTTGAAATATTAACAGTTTTATGATTAAAATATTAGGTCTTAATATTTTAAACGAGTTTAGAGATTGGATTGAATATAAACGAACAAACATAAATAAACGAAAAGAATGTTCACAAATGTAAATGAACAAACAAGTCATTTGTTCATGTTCGTTCATTTAATTAAACGAACATAAAATTTTATTCATATTAATTTGTTTAATAAATAAATGAACATAAACAAATTTAGTGCCGAACGATTCACAAACGATTAGTTTACATGCCTATCGCCAACCGATTCTAGCTAACCATTCCGGTAGGATCCTGTTTCTCCAATCCGTAAGAAAATTAAGAATAATTGAGTGTCCTTCTTAATGACTTTTTGGACGGTTACAAGGATAAGATTACGATAAAATATTAATTATATAGAATATTATCTGATCACATAAGTTATTATACTTTTTAATACTTTATTTACCAAAATATTTTTTTTCCAAATCATAATATCTACTAATTACACAATTTACTATAAAATTATAATATTTTAGATAAATCATTGAATATTTAATTTAATTTTAATCATGTTTCCAATTGTTAATTATTAATAGAATTATTGATATGATAATTAAATTAATTTAGGTAATAATATGTTTTCTTAGTACAGTACGATGGCTAACGTAAGGCGTATGAATATGATTGGTAACATGCTTTGGTTTGTCGTTAGAACATTACTTTTCAATCTTTAGCTAATGCATTATTGGGCAGTCACTTTCATCAACATCATACGGTCATACCTAATAATAATAAACAAGCCAAGGATGTGAAACAATGTTAATCCTTTGCTTGTGGTTAAATCATCAAAATTAACAGTTCATGCAGTGATCCCATCAAGGGACACACTTCTAGACCTACCCACCCAGTTCCTAATAATTCAGTTTTAATTATATCAATTATTAATAAATTAATATTTGATATATTATTGTGAAATTATAATTTTATAAGCCTGTTAATGATGATATGTGTCATTTTCTTCTAATGACTTCTTGATGGATGATCCCCCGTCAAGAAGTCATCTTAACATGCGAATTTGTATATGTGATGCATGGCTTCCACTTTCAGCACTAAACAAGAAGTCATCCTTACAAGTCGTCCACAAGCATGGTCCATGCTCTCAGCTCTATCAAGATAAAGCGATATTCCAACTCACGCTCAGATTCTCCTCCAAGATGAAGCCCACGTCAAGTCCATTCGCTCAAAACTGGCCAAGAACCTTGGCCGCTCCACCAATCTCGACCAAAGCGATGTGGCCAATCTCCCCGCCAAGGATGGCAGCGTCGTCGGTGCTGGAAATTACGTAGTCACCGTAGGTCTAGGCACCCCAAAGAAAGATTTGACTCTCATATTTGATACCGGCAGTGACATTACGTGGACACAATGTCAACCTTGTGCAAGAAGATGCTATAAACAGCAAGATCAAATTTTCGCCCCATCACTATCCTCATCATATTCCAACATTTCATGCACCTCAACGGTTTGCAATTCACTAGCTTCCGCAACAGGTAATTTTTCATCGAATTTTCCAGGCCTGGATTCAAAGATTGTTAATTCGCTGTGTTTTGTTTTATGTGCTTGCAGGTAATTCACCCGGATGTTCATCAACAGCTTGTGTCTATGGCATTCAATACGGAGATTCGTCTTTCTCGATCGGAATCTTTGCAAAAGAAAAGCTCTCCTTGACACCAACTGATGTGTTCGATGACTTTCTATTCGGTTGTGGCCAAAACAATCAAGGTCTTTTCGGAAGAGCAGCCGGTTTGCTTGGACTTGGCCGAGATAAATTGTCTTTAACTTCACAAACAGCCGTGAAATACAAGAAATTCTTCTCCTACTGCTTGCCATCATCTTCCAGCTCAACCGGTTTCCTCAGTTTCGGATACAGCGGCGTCTCGAAATCAGTAAAATACACAACATTGTCCACAGTCTCCCAAGGCTCATCTTTTTACGGAATTGACATTGTTGGGATAAGCGTTGGTGGCAAAAGGTTACCGATTTCAGCCTCTGTTTTCAGTGCTGGTGGCGCCATTATCGACTCTGGAACCGTCATCACCAGACTACCGCCAACGGCCTATTCGGTGTTGAGCTCTGAATTTAGAAAACTGATGAGCCAGTATCCGACGGCACAGCCACTTTCGATTCTGGACACATGCTATGACTTCACCAAGTATTCTTCCATTAGCGTGCCTAAGATAAGCGTCTTTTTCGGTGGAGGCGTTGAGGTTCCGATCCCCCGCTAAGGGAATTTTGTATGCTAGTAGTATCTCACAAGTGTGCCTGGCGTTTGCCGGCAACGGTGATGACACAGATGTAGGAATATTTGGGAATACACAGCAAAAGACGCTGCAAGTGGTATACGATGGCGCTGGAGGGAAGCTTGGGTTTGCTCCAGGGGGGTGCACCTAAGTTTTATAAAGCTTATCGAGAAGAAAATTCTTCAAGTTAGCTCTCAAATCAAATCATAATTCACATGATAGCAAGATTGGCTTAAGATTGAAATAATCAATGCACTAATAAAAGTCATCACTAGTGGATACTTCTCTGCCCTTTTCTACCCATGTATCATTCAGGAAAGTAAAATGCGTGCTGCAATGTATGTACATTTATATAAAGATACGGTTTTCTATGGCTTTCAAATCATAAAATACGTCTCCCTTTCGTAAAGTTCATATACAATTATGTGTCTGCATCTAATCTGTCCTTCCCCCATTGGAATCGTGGGTCAAGCAGCTTTCAGTTGTATTTTTCTGCAGCTTGTACTCAAATTAAGCAACAATCATAGCAGGAAAAAAAGTTTACTAAAGGACAAAAGATTGGTTTCCATTTCCAGCTATGCGATTGCATTCCCAAGGTACATAATGTAAAAGGATTTTTAAAGTTTACAATTAAAACCAATTAGCTGAGATTCGTAACTGAAACGCTAGCAATTACCAGGTCCAATTTCCACCCTCTGGTCTGGGATGTTATAGAGCATGTTTCGCTTCTGATGTTGATGATTACCAATGATTGCAAGGCCGTCAGTTTCAGCAAATGCCAAGCAAACTTGAGACGTGCCATTGGCTTTCCAGGTAACTGCTGTTTCGTCCAAATTTAAGTCCAAATTTTTAAAATGCAATACCATTGTAGGTATTTCTGGCTTACCATACCCCTCCAGGTTATAGCACGTATCCAGTACGTTATCAAGAGGAGGGACTGGAGGGTATTTCGACATCAATCCTTTGAACTCCGAGCGCAGCTCTGAATAGACCGAAGAAGGTAGGCGAGTGATAACAGTTCCTGAATCTAAAATGGTTCTGGGAGATGATACACCAGAAGAAGTGCCAATATTGACTCTTTTCTGGCCTATTGTTATGGCAATAAGATTTACATAATAAAAGTTGGGATCTGATGTGTCCTTCAGAAGCGGGGTGTAAGAACCAGAAAAGGGGCAGTTCTCACGGGCTTTGTCCCCAAAATGAACATATCCCTTCGAGTCTTCCAATCGAGGAAGACAATAACAAAATACCTTGTGAAACATTGCTGCAGTTTGGGATGTAAACGCATTGCTACCACCATATCCTGTGCTGGCCGGACCTAAGCCTAGTATCCCATTTGCGTCGTCAAAGTTCCCTTCTACATGAGCGGCACAAAGGAAAACAAATTTAGGAATCTCATACTCGTCCTCTATATGAAGCGTATCGACCATATAAGTTCCGGCGACTTCGGATTTGTCGTTGTATTCTCTTCATCATTTTCATTGCAAGGCGGCACGAACATGTGGTATTAGAGTAAGTTGAGGAACAAGAAGGATAATACAGCGACTGGTTTCGTTGTGTCGGACAGGGAAACATCGTAGGAGGTTGGCACTGTACCCAGGTTTTGTAACTGCCCGTGTCCATAATCAAATGAAAAGTCTGTACGGGTGTGCCAAAACCAACTTCCACCATATAATTGCCAGCGCCTAGTGAGTCTTTCAGAAAATCATGGTCTCCACCCTTCCACGGACACCTGCACGCCTATTGTATACCCCGGAATAAATGACCTGAACACGACGATCGTCTTGGGCGAGAATCTGGCTCGAAACGGCTGTTGATTTCTTTAGGCCAAATGGTGAGCAGGGTCCGTATTTATGGACCACCCGCAAACCTTTTTCAGGACCTGAAAAATGTGATGTTAGTATATATACGTTTCATGTAATAATGTTAATGCTGGGTAAATTACCTAAGCAGTGAGATGGAATGGCGTGTGAATTGTTTTTCTCCACCTCGGTAGCACCATGACCAAATGGGTTATTAAAGAGAGAAGAGGGAATAGCACAAGAAATATGACCAATGGCCATGAAAGCTGAGAAACCACTCATATTTCGTATGATTGCGGTTCCACTTGCTGTTCTTATTAGTTTGGACAAGCATATATAGAGTGAGAGATGAAGTGAAATAGTAGTTCCAGGAAACTGTGAAATGGAATTGTTTGCAAGGGCCGAAGATTCGAAAATTGAAAGTTCTATTTGGGGTCAAGGAACACGTCGAGGACTTGGGGGCCCAAAAATTAAAGTCTAGGTGTTGAAAAATCACGTCTCTTTACGAGTCTCCTATGACCGTAAACATTACGGGTCTTTTTTCACGTCAACTTCTATTTAGGGTCGTTTTTAACCTTTTCTTTTTGGTAATAAAGAAGAGAACCAAACTAGCTAATTTAAGTCATTCAGCAGAAGAACTTCCACAACACTAGGAGCTGTAGTGCACGACACCAATCGAGTTCCCTCTTGCTAAGCTAGCCAACTTATCTTCCACAAGATTTGCCTCCCTATAGACACGACTTAGCTTAACCTGCCACTCCCCATTATAGGGATGGGCATGGGTTAGGTTGGGTAGGATTTTTGGTCCACTCGATCCGACCCGAGAACAATGACACTTTCACCCGAAATCTGACCCGACCCACATAATATATACCTTCCACCTGACCCGAGCTCGACTCGACTTTTTGAAATAAAATTCGAAACCCGGTCTGACCTGACCTGAAATAATAAAAAATATTATTATTTTTCAATAAAAACAATGATTTAGTTGAAAAAATATATAAAGGGGTATTATTGTAATTATTCATAAATGTATAAGGTAAAATTATATATATTTTTTCGGATAGAGTATTTTTCACCCTAAACCTAAATCCGATTAAAAAAATCGATATGATCAGGTTGGATCGAAACCCATTGAATTCGGGTCCCATACCCATCCCTACACCATACCGCATCTGCTCCCTATTCAACTTCACAATTGCACAACTTCCGTTCGCTCGACCCTAATTTATCTTAAATGATTATTATTATTTACCTATCCAAAGTTTAAGATTGAAATTCAATTGATTTAACCTAAATATTTAAATATTTTTTCACTCAACATAAATTCTAATTTTCACTTACGGTTATGTTGTTATCCCTTCAATACTTTTTTAGATGTTGTCTTCATCAAAAGAGCTTTCTTCTCTCACTCTATCTTTATGCCCGATCCAATTTTTAAAACTTTGTATATATGTGCACCGTCGACACCGACACCAACCATTGTCGATTTATGGTCAGTGATCTTCTTTAGTTGAACCTAGCCATCGAAACGGTCATCTCTTCTTTATAATTTCTTTGATTAAAGGTTTTCTAAAACGTTTCAAGAAACTATTAAATCACCTCGAATCTTTTGACTTTTTTCAACGTCAATATAAAAAAATTAATAGTTGAATTACGCTGATTTTTAAGTTTGTTACACTGATTGTTGTGATCTCATTAAATATGACATTGACTATTATCATCTCATCTGTCATCGTTTGAATATATAAAATGATATTTCATCATCTAAAACCGTAAAACACAGAAAATAAGCAAAGAAAATGAAAGAGAGAGGGTGAAAGGAGGCGAAAGGAAAATAAAACAAGAAATTTAACTGCAACGGCTAATTCATTGGGGTGAAATCGAATAAAAATTGGATAAATTTCGACTTTTCACTCGTCTCTACACGTTCAGCCACTTGAATACTTCGTAATATAAGTGCAACGACCGACTCAATTTGGTGAATGAGAATACAAACCAAACGGCCCAAAAAAGAAAAGGGGTTTACAAGATACTTTAGATGATGTGATGTGAACATTGTCACATCGAGTAAATTGGGCGTCTAAGAACCAGTCTCATCATTTTGCTTTATGACGACTTATTATACACGGGGAAGACCCAACCGTTCATATGTTGAAGACAAATTAATTTAAACAAGGAAAAGATAAAGCATATTCTGTTGATTTCAAAAGTGAAGTTATGCTTGATTGGCAAAATGCATATTATGAATCAATCTCGATTTTATGTCATTTTTAATTCGTTCTCGCAATATTTTAGTTTTTTGAATTGAATCATTTAGAGTTTTTCCCCTTTTCTTGGGAGGCCAAGGCCATCCTCATTTTCAGCAGATGCCCAGCAAACTTAGGGCATGCCATTGGCTTTCCAGGCAGACAGTTCCTGAATCTAAAATGGTTCCTGGGGATGATGCACCAGAGGGAATACTCACTCTTTTCTGCTTTATTGTCATGGCAATAGGATTTACACGATAAAAGCTGGTGGTTCATTGCTTGGTTTACTTAGACGCGATCAGCCTGCCAGCCGGCTGTTTAATCAATTGTTTACTAGTGTATTTATTTATTTTAGTTAGAAACTTGCATTACTGTTTTGTCAAGTCAGAATTTTTAATTTCAGAATACACATCAACAAAGTTAACAGATTTCACTGCAGTTAAATTGTTTTTATTAAAAAACCATCTTTTGAAATATGCTCGAAACTAATACATGCAGTGGTGCTGAAATCCAGTATCCTCTCGTACCTGAACAAGATTCTGATACGAATTATGGTGCTTGGATTCAGTACTCCCGGGGATGAATCTAATGATTTTCAAATTTCTTGTTCTACGTTAATCTCTGGCCATTCGAACACTAGTAATATACCGTGGCCGTCCCGTGTTTGATTTTGCCCCTTGAACCACGTCTAGCTAAATGGACCTGACGTTCCATTGTCAATTTGTTGCTTAATTTTTCGGAACCCAAACACCAAGGTAGACCACCACTCAGGATTGACTAAAGGGGTTTTACAACATGAGAAAACTGGACGTCAAGAACTGCTCTCATCCTTAATATTACAGTTATTCCAGGTTGATTTTATCTTTGCTTCCCTCTGTTAAGTGGAAATTACACGTAGTTTTATTGATTGGAAAATTACCGTGGATGATTAAAATGGAATTTTTTTTAAGGTTGATGATAAAAATATTTTTTCCCAAAAAAATCAATAATATAGCTAGGTATAGTTTACCAGGAAAGGAACTTTATTTGATTGACAATAGGGTTACACAATGAATACAGAGAAGGAAGCAAAGAAGCTAAGAGGAAATATTGTTGGTAAGATACCAAAATGTTTATCTTTTTTTTATCGAAGATGACAAATTTAAAAATATTTATAAAGAGGCTTTAATTTTTTTTTTAAAATTAGATCAATTATGATATTTAATATTATAAATTTACCATTTATATTTATGTTCGTGTCGTAAGGACAAGAGGTTGACGAATGTTTTATTTGAAGAAGTCTTGAGTATTTTGAATACCAAAACAAAATTATTACACAAAGTAGTAAATAATCTTCATCCTATAAGAATAACCTATAATCATGTTTCAATTTTATAAACCATACAATATCATTGAAATGATATATTTTACTCTTAATCAATCTCATATTTGTAACTTAGACGCCATAACAATTTTAACATAAATTATTGTACGGAATCATTAATTGCATTGCCATGGGGCCCAATACTTGGAAGTAAGGATAAAACCATCCGAGTATGGGTTGTTCTGCGTACACTGGCTAGTATACAGATAAAATAGGGTGTTATTGATTTTGTTATTATTTAAATAATAAAATCGATAAAAAATGATCGAAATATCATTATTGATCGGTTATAATAATTATATAGGTAAATGTGGTAAAAAATCGGTCAAAAAATGATGTTTAGTAGCGTTTTACCGAAAAAATCATTTTTTGACTGAATTTTCATTTTTAGTTGCAAATCACATGTACGTAAATGTTAAATGAATATGTTCACAAACGTTAAAACGAATTTGTTTACAATGCTAAATAAATGGGCGAACACCTTTAAAAATAAATTATAAACAACAAACATAAACACAATAAAAAAAAATAAACAAACATGAACACATCTTATATATTGATTCAAGCTTGGTTCATTACACCCGTGCTTGTAAGGTGTACTAGAGGTTTTAGTTTATTGTTCGTGCTTCTTCAGCCATTGTGGAGACTACTCTGGAGTGTGAGATCTCATTGAAGTTGCAGAAGGTATATCACTGGGAATTTCATTAAGATGCAAGATTTCAACAGTGTTTATGTGAGAAGACCCGTTAGTATCTTCTTCGTATCTTCTTCTTCCCGCTCAATGCTGAGAGAAACAATACCCCGCAATTCAATAACAATATGTAATTAGTGTTCAGAAGATTCAATATTAACCGGAAGAAAGAATTGTGTTAAAACATTTGAATCCAATCCATCCATGTTCCGTTTAGAAATGCATTTTTTTCCATGAACGAAAATCGGAGCCATGTATGATCTACAACCAATCATCCCCTCCAAGGAGGACCCGGATTCTCTTAACGGAAAGGAAAAAAAGAAAAAAAGAAGTTAGAAAATTTTAAGAAGAAAGGTTTTAAGATTAACCTCTGTCGCATCGTTTGTCATTATCAATTTATCATCGCCACCCCCGGATTTACGTACTCGATCCCTTGCCTGCCGTTGTTTGAATCGATGGCGTTCTGCATTAACCTTCGTTCATATTTTCATTATCGTTCCCGTCATCGGAATCATGGTGATAACCTTAGAGAGTCCTATTGCACGGATGGCCGGCGCTGTCTCAATCGGGACGTACCGGAGTCAATCACAGTCGCAGATGACATCTCCATCCTACAGACCCTAACCGCACCGATTAATTTTTCCGGTAACTCATCCTCGGTCTGTCCTTCACACAAATCCCATATCGATTATTACACTCGTCGCGTATCCCAATGCGAGGTGTAAAATCGTGCTGGCAATCGCCGAGCTCGCAATGTCAACGTCGATTTCCAAGTAATTAGCTCCTCTATGATAATTACACGTCAAAGCTTTACCTATCAAGCACGCACCATAGTTGCCCACCGTTTTTTTGACGACCCACGGTCCCTCAACAATCCGGTTAACCATCTTGAACCGGTTGATTCCTGAAGGCATCGTCGCCATGAACGAACTGATAAAGTAACGTATCGAAGGGATAG